GCCTTCCGTCTCTGCTGATGTCAAACCACAATCCATCTTCCCATGAGGCTTGGCGTGCAGTGTGGGAGCCAGGTCACTGTTCCCTCTCTTATTTGCATGAATGTGGGGAAGTACACAGTTCATGTGACCAGGTCACCAGAGGTAAACCTTGACCTCGGCAGGAAAACTGCAACCTACCATGTGGCCCTGGGCTTCTACCCAGCTCTTTTCTCATTCCCCTTTTTGTGTCCTGGCTTCCAGAGCTTAGATGAGTTTTGCTATGGGGTGAAGAAGGAGAAACAGCTGGAACAGCAGCGAGCATGTGGAAGGAGGAGGAAGGAGGAGGAAGGAGGAGGAAGGAGGAAGCTTCTCCCCTGAGTCAGCCATGGTTTGGGGACAGTGGCTGCTGTTCTGGGCCTAGATTCCTTCCATAAGGACGAGCTAGGGGACTATATGCCAACCAAGCTTCCTTCAAGTTCTAAGCATTGAACTAGCATTCTAAGTTGGTTTTTGGTGTATTGGTGCTTTTTGCTCATGCTGATTTTTAAAATTGGCTCCGTTATTGGTTAAGTATGGAACATATACTGTATATACGTGCTTTCACTTTTCCCCCTCAAAGTAAGGACTCTGAGTTCACGATGGTAGAAAGTGTGGGCAGGCTACTGCAGTGGGAGAAGCTGGTATTCAGTCGATCAAAGACTGTTTGGAATGTCCTGGTGTCGCAGAGGTGGGGAACAAAGTTGCTGGGCTGTGCAGAAGGGATCAGAACGTGTGTATTTTTAGGAACTTTTAAAAGGGTGGACCTTGCTCCTGGCCCCAGTCAGAGGCTGAGTACTGCCTTCTCAGTCCTGCAGGGAGCTGGATTGTATGGGATGAGCCTCCTCTCACCTTGCTCCAGACCTGCAGGGACCTCCTTCCTTCTAGAGCTCCTATCCCACCCCTGCCTCTTGGCCTCCTGGCTGCTGATGCTCTGTTGGTCACTGCCTCTGGACCATTTCTTCCCACCACTGAAAAAAACAGCCTGGCATCGCCATTTTTTCCCAGGGAGATGGATTCTGGGAGGAATCCAGGATCTTAGGAAAGGCCAAATGCCAGCCTGGCCTGGTCATACCCCAGACTTGCTGCCCTCTCTGGGGTCCCCACTTTGCCCAGAGGCCTTTTTCTACAGCTCTGCTTTCTGGAGAACCACTGCCCAGTATCCAAAGGCTGGACAACAGGGCCTACCAGGCAGTCGTTCCAGTCACAGGATTCTGCTATAACAGCAGAATTCAGTGGTCAGGGGCCCAGTGCTGTATCCCCTGGGTCTAACATCATTGACACACTGTTTGGGGATGAGTCATAGTTTGTGCCTGCTTTGGGGCTCACCTCCAAAGGGAGGAAGTCTGTCAGGGAATCTGCAGGACATCCCATGAGTCCAGGAATATGAGGCCACCTTCCTTGGTCCTGCAGACTGAGCAGGTTTAAGACAGGAGAAACAGGACCCAGGTCCTTCCTGCCTGCTACACAAGAAACGAGCAAGAGGAGAGTCTGAGCCAGGTTAGAGTTCAAGTAGCTCCTGCCCTTTGCTGTCCCGGCCCAGGCTGTGGCTCTGAGTTCAGAGACAGGCTTGACACCATCTGATCTGGATTCTTCAGCCACTTCTCCGAGCTCTTCAAATTCACAGGGCTCTGTCTTCCCTTCCACTCTTCCTACGTGTTGTTTCCCCGGCTGAAATGGTTTTCCTACCTCCCTACTTGGCATTGGACATGGCTGACCAAGCCCTTTCCTTGAAATATCCCCTTTTCTTAGCCTCCATGGCACTCCTCCCTCCGGGTCTTCCTTCTGTCTTGCTGGCCCATCAGTCCTTTTGTCTGACATTGCAATCACAGGGCTAGCCCCAGATGGCCTCGCAGCCTCTTCTCCTTAGCCATACACCCTCATGGAGCGACTGCAAAGCCGGACACGTCTAAATTTCACCTCCATTCCGGATCTCTTTCTTCTTGGCCTTTCAAAGTCAACTGTGATCTTTCCGTCTCTAACAAGATTATCCACCATTAGCAGACCACAACTGAGCTTTGCATTCCACAAGCTCCCAAACTTCTCCATCTCAGGGAAACAGCCCACTGTTCCTCTAATTGTTCAAGCCCAGGATCTACGCACCAACTGACTGTGTCTTCTTTCTCCTCCTCCAAATCATCAGCACTTCCCCTGATTCACCTCCAAAACATCCCCCAAAGCCAGTGTCCCAGGTTTATTATTACTGGCTTTGTCACAGTCACTGTCATCTCTTGCTTAAATTCATGCTAAAGCTTGGGGGGTGGGATGAGCAGGGAGTCTCCCTGCAAGTAGAGACACAATGCATTTTCCAAACAGCTGCTAGGGTAGCCTGAACATGTCACCCTACCTGCTCACATACATCTGAGCATTATCAGCTCATCTCCCATAGTGGCTCCCTGCTGACCTCAGGATAAAGTCCCAGACCTCTATGCTGGATGAAGGGACCATGAAAGCCTGACTGCTGCTGGCCTCCCACTCCCGCCACTCTGCTCTATTCCAACCCTAGTGGCCTCTCCAATTGCTCCAGTGTGCCTGGCTATGTTCTTCCTGTGAGTTTAGTATGCCTGGCTCCTTCCTGTCATTCATATTTCAGCTTCACTAAAACCTCTCGGAGAGGCCCCTCTGACCCCCAACCTAAAGTAGCTGCCCTGTCACCTTCTCTCAGACCACAGGCTTAAGGTCTTTGTCCAGCACTTATCACCCTCTGATATTTTCCTTTGCACTTGTTGTCTTTCTCCCCACTGGAATATAAACCCCAGGAGGGTCAAGATTCCCCAGGGCCTACACCAGTGCCCAGCACAAGGCAGAGGCTTAATACATAGTCCCTGATTGGTAGAAGGATGAATGGCCCCAGGGGAAGAATCCCAGGAGTGGGGTTAGGATGTGAAGAATTATTCTGGATTGAATGATGGTGGTGACAAGAGAACACAGAGAAGTAGAGAATGTGAGAGAAATTAAGAAGAGAAAAGCACCAGGCTGGCACTGATGTGTGGGGGAAGAAGCCAGCCAGGGGTCTTTAGGGTGACTCTCAAGAGTTCTGGGTTGGGACTATCTACAGAGGTCAGGAAGGTTGTATAAGACGATAACCAAAGCACACTGCTGAGTCCTACCTGGGACATGATGGCTTGCCCGAGAGAAGTCTGAGTAGGCTGTCCTATAGATAGGAGGATGGTCAGGAGCAGCCCTCTGTGCACCCTAGTGGATGGCACAGAGCTGTGGGTGGGGATAAACCCTCAGGGAGGGTGGGCAGAGAGAGTACAGAGCTTTCCAGAAGAGGATCTGCTACCCTGGGAAGGAGCAGTCAGGGCTTGGGAGGGGCCAGAGGAGAGTGCAGAACTGCAGAGCCCAGGGCAGGGGGCTTCGCAAGAAGAGGAGAGTGGTCAGAGGGATCAGGGGACCAAACAGGCCATCAAGTCAACAAAGATGTGCTGTGACCTTGGCAAGGGCCATGCATGTCCACAGTGGGTGGATGTGGGAGTGCAGAGGCTGGGTGCCAGTGCCTACTCTGTCCTGTTCCCCACCGCCATTACTGAGCATCCCAGGAGCGCACCATCCTCTGGCAGTGGCTTGCCTCTCCTGTATTTGAAAGCAGCAGTGCACTCAATCAATGTTGAGTGGGGCTGTGCCTCCTTTACCCTCCTCAAAACAGGTCACTTGGGTTTTGGGATTGTACCCTCCCACACCCTGACTGTTGGAAGTAGGGTTTCACCTTGTTCGTCACTGCACTCAGAGCCCGAGTGGAATGAACCCTCAAAGGCTGCCTGTGTTCTCTGTGGGTCACCTTGTTTTCAGTGAGGCTGGAGGGCCAGGACCACACCTGGTGCTTTTCCGGAAGCCCCTGAGCACAAGCCTGGGAGAGATAAGACAGCGTGCTGGGGTGTCTACCTAGAACCTCAGAATGTGCTCTTATTTGAAAACAGAATCTATAATTAATCAGAAGTAATTAGCTAAGATGAGTTCACAGTGGATTGAGTAGGCCCTAATGCAATGAGTGGTGTCCTTTTATTATTATAAGAGGAGAAATTAGAGACACACAGAGGAAAGACAGTCATGTGACAATGGAGGCAGAGACTGGAGTTATGTCACTGTATGTCATGGAGTGACAAGAGTTGTCAGCAACCACCAGCAACTGGAAGAGGCAGGGAAGGAATCTCCTCATAGCCTCCTGAGGTCCAGCTGACACCTGACCTCAGAGCTCTGGCCTGCAGAACTGGGAGAGAAATTTCTGCAGTTTGTGGTACATTCCAGGGAAGCCCTAAGAAATGAATGCAGTGGGCAAAAAGAAGCTGGTCGATATGCCCACTGACATATCCCACTGAGGGGCTGAGCCTCTCCCCTCAGGCTTCAGAATAAACCATCCAATCCCCAGTGGCTGGGGAACCCTAAGAGTAGCCTGCGCCTTTGGGGTTCCTCCACGGTGTCTGCTTTACATCCTCCCCAGCGGCTAGGCCGAGGTGGCAAAGGTGAGGAGGCTGAGCTTTCTCCCAAGTGTCCTTTCTCTGCAGGGCACTATCTGTCACTGCTGTGAGGAGTCTGGGTGAGGCCCATCTCCAAGGAGACCCATGCTCTGGCACGCAGAGGAGCTTCACACAGATCCATTTGGTGCGCCCCCAGCTTCGAACAGCAGGAAGTCACTTCCCCGCTTTGTCCCAGGCTCAAGAGCAATAGTTAGCTCTTTGGGGCCCCAGCAGCTAAGATGTTCCCCCAGCTGGGTGCAGACACGATCCCCCCACGATGCTACAGAAAGCATGCCAACAGAAAACGTGGGTCCAAGCAGGCAGACTCACACTCTGATCTGTAATGATGTGGATTGCACAGAGGAGAGACTGATAACAAGGAGAGACGCTGGGCACTGGAGCAACACACTCACTGGGCCCAGAGAGGACAGTCGCCTGCCACTCAGCGGCCAGATGCTAACCAGCTTGCGTCTGCTTAGAGCCCACTCCAGCTGAACTCAGAAAGCTCTAGGCAGGGTCCTCACTTACTGGACAGCCCCATGCCAGCAGGTCTCCATGTCCCCAAAGCGCCCTAGAGGCAGGAGAGGGAGAGTGTGACCCTCAGGCTTTGACCACAGGTGTCATTCAAAGCACTGTCAAAGACAAGATAATTCACTGATGATTTTTTTAAGATCCTTGCAAATTCTGTGTTCTATACCATGAAACAAACTGTTACTTGTTTTAGTGGTACTGGGGTTTGAACTTAGGGCCTTAAGCTTCCTTGGCAGGTGCTCTACACTTGAGCATGCCCTCAGTCCTTTCTGCTTCAGTTATTTTTCAGATAGGGTTGCTTGTTTTTTGCCCTGGCCAGCCTCAGACCGAATTCCCCTACCTACACCTCCCTCATAGCTGGAATTACAGATGTGAGCCACCATACCCTGCTTATTGGCTGAGATGGGATCTCATTAACTTTTTGCCTGAGCTGGTGGTCTTCCCAATCTCCAACTGCAGAGTAGCTGGGAGTATAGGCATGAGCCACTGGGACCAGCCTTGGAATTATTTAATACCTAAGTTACTTAATTTTGTAATTCCTTCCTCTATCATCTGAGGAAATTGATGCCTTTGAGCTATTCTTGGTCTCTGCTTGCCCATATTTGTTCTCTTCCAGTCACACAGCAAGGCCTGGTGAGTGTGATTATGAGGCTGGGCTGGATGGGTGGGCAAGGAGAGGACAGCCAAGGAGAAGCTGGCATGGGGCCACTTATGAGAAAGCCCTGGAGTGCTCTCCAGAGAGGAAGTGTCCAGAAGCCTCCAGGGGCCAGTTGTACAGCTGGACTGCATCCAGAGTGTCTAAGTCCCTAAACTCCGGTGGTCCCTAGACTGTCCCCAGGGTCTCTAGGTCAGTGTGTGAGGCTGGGATTAAAAGCTAACCAGCAGGGAACTACATGCCAGGGACAGGCTTGTTCACAGCTACATACAGCTGAAAGACAGGGGGCACAGCTGGGGCCCAACCCAGCTACATATCTTCCATTTGTTTACACAGAGGGCTGGGTCAGACCCAAAGGCCAAATGGGAGTCCAAACCTTACCTTTCCTTCCCTCGACCTCCCCCAGGCACATGGCCGAGGTCTAGGCTGCCTTGGATGTTAGAAACTAACATCTCGCCAAGGCAGCTGCGCCTCCCCCACCTCCATCTCCCACCTCGATGGGATATGGGGCTTATCCCCAGGCTGTGCAGGAAGCAAGTGCCTAGAAAGTGAGGCTCTGGATCCTATGCCTAGCCTTCCTCTGCCTGAGATGACAAGTCTCTCAGGTGAGCTCAGCAGTCCTGTCCAGGTGACCAGTCTAGCCCAGGAAAGCTGCATCCATCTCACTACAATCCTCTCACTCAGGCAGGAACTCAGCTGTCAGAGAAGCAACTAAAAACAGTCTAAGCAGCTTAGTGGGGTTCTGAGCAGGGTATGGGTGGGGACAGGGAGACCCTGAATCTTCTCAACCTGGCTACAAGAAGATGGCTACAAGAATGGCTACAAGAAGATGGCTACAAGAAGAGAAATGACAGGCACACAGAAGTTCACTCATCTTCTCTTCCAAGGACAGCATCACCCAAAGGTGTGTCCTAGTGTCCTTGGCCAGATGAGAGCCACCCCATCCCCTCAGCTCCAGCGCTGCAGTGTTGCCTGGCTTGGGTGTATTATTTGCCAACCCAGGCACAGCAAGACAGTCTAAACAGACAGCACATCCCCTGCCTGCTTGTATCCATCTGACCCACTGCAGGCAGAAGTGACATTTCCCAGAGGCTGTCCCCAAATGCCTCTGGGGTCACTGCTGCCTACCTCCAGCCTGGAAGAGCTTGTAAGTGCAAGTGAACAGCAAGCTTGCTCAGACCAAACTGGGGTCCTGTGCAAATGATCTGTGGTCAGGCCCTGGGAAAATCTGTTCAGAATTTGGATCTTTGAGGGAGAAATGGTGAAAATGGCAGTTTCCAAACAGCCTTGGCCAAAGCCAAGGCTCTCTGGCTCCCTCTCCCCCCACCCTGCCCCGCCCCTTCCATCCCTCTTGGTCTGCCTGACCACGCTCAGAGTTCAGATCTCACCAGAGGGTCACTTCTTCCGTGGGGCTTCCCTGATCACTCTGGATGACTGTGTCCCGTTTGCAATCGCTTTCATTCACACAAGCATTCATATGACAAATGTGTACTGCAACCCACCACGTGCCGCCCTGTGCTAGGCATGGGAGTCCCCCCAGAATTCGCAGTGGAGCAGGGGGGACTGGGTGGAAGAAATCCCCTGGGTGTGGAGGAAACTCTACAGCTCTGGGACCCAGAGAGCTACGCCCCGCCAAGGCAGCTGCGCCTCCCCCACCTCCATGCCCGATCTCTGCCCCCCGCCCCCATCGCTTGCGCCCAGCTGAGATTTTGGGGACTTGGGGGGGATCCTTGTGCCGCGGCCCCTCCACGGTGACAATCACTCCTCCGCTGGGCGGAGCTGCGCAAACAAAAGCGGCGCTCGGGGAACAAAGGTTGAGCCGTGGGGGACAAAGACTGCCAGCGGGGACAAAGGCTTCGCCGCAGCTGCTGCGTGCGTGTGCGTGTGCGTGCGCGCGCGCGCGCTGGCACGGGACCGCCGCACACGCGGCCCAGACCTCCTACCCGGCCTTTACTCTGGCAAACAAATCCGTTGTTTAAATCCCGTGAAGGCAGAAATTCTCGTCCCCAAACCTTCCCCGCCCTGGGGTGGGGGAGGAGCAAAAGGCGCTCCCAGGCTGCAGGGAAGGGCGACGAGAGGGGGGAGACTAAGGGTTCCAGCTACGGGTCCCTCTCCGAACTGGGGAGGCGCCGCGCGCCGCCCGCATCCCCGAAGGACCCGCGCCTCCAGCTTTGTCGCTAAAGGCCCCGCACTGCGGCTGCGCGCTGGGCGAATGCGCGTGCGCGCCTGTGTGCACGCGCACCGCCCGGCGCTGCAGTCCCCTCGCCCCACCCCTTTCCACCTCGGTCCTCCAGTCGCCGCAGCACCCGCCACTGCGCGGGCTGGCAAGCGCTAATGGAGACTGTGCCAGTAGCGGGGAGGCGGGAGGGACTGCGCTCAGGAGCTGCAGAGACGCGAGGGGAGGGGACGGGAGAAGAGAGGAGAGAGAGGCTTACCACCGCCCGGCTGCTGCAGCCTTGACCCCGACACAAAGTTTACTGGCGGGCCGAGGGGTTGGTCAGAGGTCCGGGGACCCCCGCCCTTCTGCTTGCGGTCCCAGCTGTCTCTTGCACTGGGACAGATTATGCCCCTGGCGCTGCGGTTGCGGCGCTGTTCCCCTCCCCCACCGACTATCAGGCTGGTGAAAGGTTGGGAAAATGGTTCTTGGGTGGGCATGTGTCTTGTATTCATTCAGGGGAAAAAGCAGCACTGGGGGCTCCATGCTTCTTCCCGGTCAGGTCGGGTGTCACGGTTTCTCTGCCTCCACCACCCTTCCCTCCCATTATTTGAAAGGACGCCTGGCCAAGACCAAAGTGAAAGGGATGCACGGGGTCCTTCAGGGCACTGAACTGCTGTCTGTGGGGTACCCGGGCCACTGCTGATTCAGGCTGCCCTGCCAGACCCTGTGTTCTACTGCGCCCTGGTTCTATCAGAGCCAACACTACTCAGACACCCAAGCCTGAATGCCTACCTCTCTCCTGTGTATCCTACCATGGGAGAAACAGAGGCTTATTATGGCTTGGAGGTCTGCAGAAAACAGAGCTCAAAGTCCTGGAGAGGAGAGCTTGCCAACAGACCTGTTCTAGGGAGGCCTGGTATGGCCTAGGATCTGGGAGTGTTTGTCATGAAGTAGTTAAGGCCACTCCACTTCTCCATCCATGGTCTCTATCACAGCATCCTCTCCGGGCTGCAACCTCTGGGTGTAGCTGGCTCTCTGGCCTTCCAGGAACTACCCTGCATTTCCTGTGTTCCTAGGCACTGCCTGGCTAAGATTCTATTTTCTACAAAGGCCCCATCTCCAAGGCAGAGTTCTACACTGGCCCCAGCATCCTTTGATCCACTCTAGTGAGGCTGACTCACTCAGGGAGAGCCAAAGCTCTGCAGAGCTCCCTGCTCCCTTCTCCACTTGTTTTGCACAACTGACACCGGATTTCCTGGGGGGAGCCCCTAGTCACCCTGCCCTTCTCTGTTACACGCTGCAGGTCATCATCACAGCTCTGCTGGCCCCAACCTTGGCCAGGAATGCTGCCAAAGCAGCACTGTGCTCCTAGGCAGCATTGCCAGGGTGCCGACCTGCTGACCCCAAACCACCTCTGGGAATAGCGCCTGCGGGTTCACTGGCCGGGGCAGCGGCCAGACACCCTGTTGCTACTGGGGCTGGGGCTGGGACCTGGATAAGTTTGAAGTTTGCACACTGTCCAGGGCATGTGCAGGCAACCAGCAGCAGAGGGCAGTCTGAAGTGAGAAGGCAGAAGGGCTACTGTGAGTAGAGGAGGGGTATTTAGGGAACCCACCCTGCTGAGGGTCAAGGCTCAACTTAGTCTGGCCTTAATACCCCAGGGCTGCTGAGATCTCCAGCAAGATACTGCCCAGATACTCTGGTGCCCTCACCAATTCCATGGCCAAGGCTGTGGTTCTCCCAGCCCTTCCCCTCCTTGGCCAGTGGACCCTGCTTCCTCCCTTGCAGCCCATAGGCCCACAGTCATGAACCTAGGCTTGTCTCAGAGGCTGCAGTGGTCGGGGACTTGACAGGTGTTAAGGGCTTCCAGAAGGTCTGGCTAGTTAGCCCTAAAAGGCAGAAGCCCTCAACACACAGCCTGGCAGTCCAGGCCTTTGAATCTGAAAGCCCAAGCTGAGGAACTCCCCCAGCCTCATACATGTCTGTCTTCTCAAAGAGGCCTGGGGCTTAGCAATGTCTCCAGGTACTCTCTTTGTTTCCTGGAAGAAATGTGGAAGCGACCCTGTATCGGCACAGCAGGTGCTGATCCTTGCTGCTTGGGGTCAGTCCAGATAGGGACCTCTCAGCTCCTGTGGGGCTTGTTTAGCCACAAAAATACCTTGGTAAGAGTGACAGCCATGGACCACGTTCATATGGTTCATCCGTCCCAGGGAGATACTGATATTGGGGGAGGGGTCAACCAGTGGCCAGACACAGGCTGACTGATGCATCCTCACTCACAGCCTTATGTGGAGGCCCAGCTGACCCTCCCTTGGTGGACACTAATATTCCTCCCTGCCTCTTTCTGGGAGCTTCCTCTTTTGTTTCACATCTTGTACACCAATGTCCCTGTTCCTCCATGCCCTGCAAGGTGACCGGAACACTGATCTTACCGTCCAATGACAGCCAGTCGTGCTGGGAGGAAGGCAGCGTGGGCAGAGCCCGAGCTTTGTACTCAAACACCACTGAGTTGGAGATGATCTGGTTGTTGAAGGCAACTTGTAGGGTCACAAGACCTGTGTCATGGGCTGAAAGCACAAGAGAGAGAAGTCAGGGTGTGTCGGGGGGGCAGCCTACAGCCCCCTCCCTACTTACCCTTTATTGGTTAGTTTCCAGTTTCTCTAACCCCAGGCTATGCCCTCTCACTCCTCAAAGCCCACGGGCAACAAATACTTCTAGGAACTTCTTGGGCCTCCGGACTCAGCAAGTGCCTGAGACCTCCCTCTCTATTTTAACTGCCCACTCCTCCACGCTTTGGGGAGAGCAGGACTTGGGCTCAGCATGGACTGTCTGAGTGAGTGAGTGAATGAGTGAGGCATCACGCTGTTCCCTCTCCAACCTACACAAGGTTTGAACTCCTTTGTGTTTCTCTTTCACCCTTTCATACTCACTTAACAAGGCAGCTCTTCTGCCTCCCACTGAAAGTAAGAGCTTTCTGTGCCTCTGCTCTGGTCCCAGCCAGCGTGGGATGCTGTGGACCTGGTGGACATGAGCTGAGAATACTAACCCGAAGCTGGTCCCTCCATCTGATGAGGGTGGTACACTTTGGGAAGGTGGGGCCCTTGTGGGTCTCGTTCACTGCTCTGGTCCCAACACAGGGCTCAATGAATACTGAATGGATGAGATGTCCCCATTGAGAGCAAGCGGAAAGCCAGCAGGGAGCAACCTGTTGCAGTTCTGGGATAAAGGCCATTGCTCTACCCACAGCCCTGCTGATATCTTGGGACTGGCCTTTGGCCCCCCAGAATTGGCCTGTGGGCACTAGTGGGTGTGTAGGCTGCCCCACCGGGCTTCATCCCCCAGTAGGCATCAGGTTATATGCTCTGTACTACTTTTCTGGAGTCCAGAAACTGATACCCAGGGCCTCCCCAGGCCGGATTTCCAGGGAGGACATACGGGGATCTCATTACTATTTGGGCTCTTGGCTTTCAGAAGCTTACGGGCACAAGGAAGCCATCCAAGTCAGCTGATTCTGGGAAGAATGAAGCTCTGCTTCCCTCTAGGACGTCTGTAGACCCCACTTCCAGTGGGAAAACCAACCCATTGGCCCGTGACCTCTGTAGCCCAGGTCATCTTGCCTTTGTCCCCAGCACAGGTCTTAAGAACATCACTGCCCAAGAATGACCAGTAAGTTTTCTCCAGTGCATCCCATCCTGGCTTGGTCACAACCTGAACCCACAGGCTCCATGGCTTTGCTGAACATAGGACCTCCCATGGTGCCTCACTGGGCAGGGATCCCAGGTCTAGTCCAGAGTCTCCCATGGCTCTGCTGGCGTCCCTGGGCAGGACTCCAAGCTTGCGGTCACTCGCCTCCCCTGGAGATTTGCCTGGCCTACCAGCAGGAAGGAAGGGCTGGTGGCACCCTCCCTATGCACTCCCATCAGTGCTGCTCCTCGCTGGCGTGGGGAGCTGGAGGCCTCTCTGGTGCCAGGCGAGCCAGCTCAGGCAGGGCCCTCCTCTGCTGCCCTTCTCTCACCGTCTCCTGGAGCCTGCACAATCTGCAGCAGCACTGAGTGTGGCAGACTCCCAGGCATTCCCACCTTTCCCTGAGATGCAGTGCAGAGGACCTGTCCTGGGTACCAGACCCAGCACCGGGAGGCTTCCTTGACTCGTTCTCTCCCTTCTCACTCATTCAATCTACCAGCGGTTCCTGGCGCCAGCTGATCTTCTCCATCTTCACTGCTTCTGCTCTTGTCCAAGCTGTGGCCATTCCTTGCCTGGACTCATGCATTAGCCTCCTATTGGAGGCAAGGCTGGCATACCTGGTGCCCATTCCTGCTGGGATGGGCTTGGGGGCCATCTTGCAAGAACCCTACAGGAAGTCAGTGGGGTACGTTGTCCAAGTGGACCGTCTTCCTAAAGTCACTGAAGATTGTCCCTCTGCCCTCTTCCTATGACTTCCCTGCTTCGATTCTTCCTCCCTACAATCCATTGTCCCAGAACAATTTTTTTGCAGTGTTAGAGTTCAAACCCATGGTTTGTGCATGCTTAGAAAGTGCTCTACCACAGAACTACACTTCTATCCCCATTTTTTTGTTTTAGCAGTATTGGGGTTTGAACTTGGAGTCTTGCCCTTGCTAGGCAGGCGCTCTACCGCTTGAGCCATACTCCTACCCCTTTTACTTTAGCTATTTTTCTAATAGGTTCTTCATTTTATACCCAGGTTGGACTTGAATTTCGGTCCTCCTGCTCTCTGCCTCCCAAATAGAAAGGATTACAGGGGCAAGCCACTGTGTCTGGCTCCCATCATGATTTATTTTCCTCCCTTCCTTCCTTCCTTTCTTCCTTCCATTCTCCCTTCCCTCTCCCCCTCCCTCTCTCCCTTCTTCTTTCCTTCGTTCCTTCCTTCCATCTTTCTTTCCTCCCTCCCTCTCTCCCATCCTTCTTTCCTTCTGTACTAGGGTTTGAATTCAGGGCTCCAAACTTGCCAGGCAAATGTCCTACCACTTGAGCCACACCCCAAGCCCTTTTGTTCAGATTATTCTGGAGATAGGGTCTTACTTTTTTCCCAAGCCTGCCTGGACCTCAATCTTCCTATTTTAGGTTGCCCACTGTAGCTGGTATGAGAGTAGTGAACCACTACACCCAGCTTTTTTCTGTTGATATAGGGTCTTGAAAACTTTTTCCCATGCTGGCCTGGAATGGTGATCCTCCCAATCTTAGCCTCTTGAGTAGCTAGGATTACAGGCGTGAACCACCAATACCTGGTTTTCCCACCATCTTTTAAAGACATAATTTTGATTAAGAAACTTCCCTGCTTAAATTAAACTAAGTTAAATTTAAACTAAAATTAAATCCCACTCTTTCCTATGACTTAGAAGTTCAGCATGATTTGTTTTTGGTTCTTGACATCTTCTGCAACTTTACCAAGTTCAAGGCTCCCCATCCTACTAAATATCCTACAGTCAGCCAGATGGTTTTGAATTCCTCCAACTTGCCAAACCTCTTCCTGCCTCAGGGCCTTTGCAGTTCCTTCGTCCTCTGGCTGGCCTTCCCATAGCTAGATCCAGCTCATTACTCATCAGCCCCATGGGTAATGGACCTTACTGAAGGGAACTCCCTCTTCCCTAACTCCACCATCGTGACATAGTCTCACCAGCTACCCTGACTATTTATTTCCTTAGCCCCAGATGTGGGACCCAGTCAGTCCAGCTCTTCATGTCCAGTGCCAAGCTCAGTGCTGTGGATCGTGTTTCAGCCATTCAGTAACTATTCATTGATGAGTTGCTTCAACACATATGTGTTCAGCTCATTTGGGGTGTCATCTTTTGCCTTTTCGGGATCTCTAGGAACTCAGGCCAGCCAGCAGTCTTCTGGGTACGTTATAGACTTCTCCTGCCTCACCCTTAGCTCAGTGTCCTGACCTAGCTGACTCCCGCCGGACCCTGGAGCAGCCCTGGAGTCCTGTAGAAGCCAGAGTGTCCCTACCATGTGTTACAGAACACACCTTTTTGCTGGGGCAGTGACCAGGGTGGTGGGCAGTGGCCATTTGTGCTGTGTCCCCTCTCCTGCATCATTCTCAGTCCCTAAAGTCTCTGAGCTCTTCCTTCTGGTGGGGGTCCCCAGCAGTCGGTATCATCTTCCAGGGAAGGGACCAGGAGCTCCTTACAGTCAGGAACCCAGATAGGGGCTGGGTCTTATTTGCTTCATTCTAGGTGCCTACCCAGTATGTGGCAAGCAGAAGATTCTCACAAACTATTTGGCAAATGAGGGAACGAATGAATGGGTACACCCCGAGCACCTGCTTGAAACTCTGTGGGTTAGCTGCAGAGTGGGGTTCTTGCAGCCAGCAGCTGTGCTCAGTGTCCCTGAGGCCTGTGGCATCTGGACTGAGACACACTGTATTAGGATAGCCTGAATGCCTTGGAGAAATGGTGGCCTGCCAGCTCTGGGGCCCCCGAAGTGCTGTGGGACCAGAATTGCCTGCTGAGTGAGACCTAGTTCCCACTCCTCACTCTCCCTTGGGAAAGAAAGCACAAAGACCTCATTAATGGAAGACTTGCATGAATTGAGCATCTGAGCCAGGTGCTTCTGGAACCTTCTCTCGTTTAACGCTGTTACCCATCTAGAAGAAGGCTTTCTAAGATGCAGAAACTGAGGTGCAGGGAGGCCAATGTCCAAGCTAATGTTGCACAGATATGCCCAGATATGGCCGACTCCAGTCCCCACAATTCTCCAGGTCCTGGCCTGGGACATCACGTAGAGGACACACAAAGGCCAGTCCTTTGTCAGGTAACTGAGGCAAGGTCTGGGACTTCAGCCAGTGAGAAGCAGGCACAGGAAGTGGCATCTATTTATAGGCCAGGCGAGTCCCCTTCCAACAGCAGGCGATAAGTGGACAATTTAACAACATACTGCCCCCTCTGCAGCACTGTGGTGGCCGACCCAGCCTAGGTTGGCATCCAGGCTGGCTGCTATCCAGGCCCACCAGGGTTGCTGGAAGCACAGGGGCCTGGGTGGAGGACCCTGGGGAGCCAGGTCTACCTGCAGCAGGCAGAGGTAGGGGCAGGAGGGGGAGGTTACCAAGAACATAGGTGGTGCAGGAGGTGCTGGGTTCAGGGAAAGGCCAAGCTTGGGAGGGCACCCCTGGAGCCAGGCATTCTGCTCTGGTGGGTTGCAGGGGGAGACTGGGAGAGGAGGAAGAATGCTCAGTGGGAGCCCCAGGCCTCATGCTTAGGGCCGGAGCAGGATTGGCAGCACCAGGGAAGGCACGGTATAAGTTGGACCATCCCAGGTGGAATGGCCTGCCTAGCACCAGCCAGCTCTGCTCTTGCCCTGGAGTCTCCACTTCTCTTCCCTGCTCCTGACTCTCTACAGGAAGCGCCTCCCCCACCCCCCCAACTCCTTTTGTAAGCACTCTGACTTCAGATAACATAGAGTGGGTCCCTCTACCCTTTGCCACTCCTATCTCCTAGTTCTGCCTCTCCTGTTCATTGTCCAGGCTAGTTTGAGAGTCCTCTCCCCCCAGAGCTGGTAATAAGGGAGATGGGTAAGCCAAAGCGTCTTTCCACTTCCAGTCCAGGGAACAGAAAGTATGTGTTTTCAAAACAGCCTTCAACTCCTAGAGACTCTACTATTCCTTCACGGACACCCAGCATCCCCTTGTGCCATGCCAACCCCTTGTTAGCCCTGGGGACACAATAGTGAGCAAGAAAGACACAGTCCCTACCCTCATGGAGCCCACAGGCCAGGGGAGATGTAGTGATAGCCAGACGATGACCAGACAGGGACACCAAGCAGAGTAGATGATGAAGCCAAAGTAGGAAGGAAGTTAGAACCCTAGGGGCAGCACTGGGGTAGGGGGAGGGGGTTCCTAGTTGGCTTTCTTGGGGAATCACTGAGGCCCTGAAATTGGAAGGCTATTATGTATATGTGCCTTCTGACACAGAGTAGAGGCTGAGTGACTTTGTGGTCCTTATTCTTAGTTTGCCATCCCCAGCCCCCTACTGAACCTACTCCCTACCAGAACATCTCTAGCCTTCCGTGTCCTGCTCTGTGCCCCAGATGGACTGATGCTGTAGATTACATGGCTTGGGCCCTAGGGACTTCTGGCTGGTCTGGGCTGGGGAAGGCACACGCTAGAGGAGAGAGGTGTACCTTGCTGCAGAAATGACTTCTGGCCTCACAAGCAGCTCCTATAGGGCCCCTCAGCCCAGCCCTGGGGGAACAGCTGCTTGTTGTGACCAATTCTGGGTGTGTCACCTGGCTTGCCAGTTGGTTCTCTAAATGGTCCCTTTGTCACATTTTCTTTAAGAGCCCAGCTAAGCCTGCCTGGTGTCCCATCTGCTATGGGGTCCATGAACCCAAACTGATGGCCTTATAATAGACTCTGTGAGACCCCAACTTCTTCACAGCCGCAGAAACCAGAGTAATGATGTTACTTGGTCAAGGTTACCCCACGGCCCAGAGTAAGCCCAGTGCTCTGGGCCTCCGTGCCCTTGCTGGTGCGTGGCAGGGGTGGAGGTAATTGGGTGGCGGGGGTGGGGGGCAGGGGTGGGGATTGGGTGTGGGGGAGGGATTGGGTGTGAAGGGGATGTTCTCACCTGGGCAGTAGCAACGCAGAACCCCAGGCTGAATCAAGGACGCAGGTACTGAGATCTGATCAAACAGGCAGCTGTAGTTATTGCTGGCTTCTTGCCACGGGCCTGTGATGAGGACTTTCACTCCTCCCTGGATGGGACAGAGAGGGACAGAGATGGAACAAGAGCCACTGAGGGATGCAGTGCCGTCGGGAGACACAGCATAGGGAAGGCCCCTGCAGATGTGTGCTCAGATGGGGGGCTACTCGTTAAACACGTATGTTCCCAGGCCACACCCCATGATTCCAATGAGCCCGACTTCTGAGAGTCACTCTTCTGGGACTGAGGCACGAGGAGGGGCCTGTAGCTGTCTTCCCCTGAACTTGAGAGGCCTCAGCGATCTTCCTCAGCCAGCACCCAGCACCGTCACCCTGTCTGGCACAGTTCAAAGTCTGGGACAGAAGGAAACAGGGGTTTGGGGGCCTTTTCAACCATGATGCATCTGCAAATTGGCCTGCTGGGCCCCCAAGGAAGGAAGGAGAAGGGACAGATGGGAATTTCTGACATTCACCCGTGGAGAGATGGAGATTTGAAAACAAGTCTGAGCATCTTGATGTCACCCCAGAGGCCAGAAGGTCTTGTAGAGAATTGCAGGGAGACCCAGGACACGCAGGGCATGGTGGGATATGGCAAGGGGAGGGGCCCAGAGGGGAGCAGTGAAGAACTCAAAGGCAAGGCCGTAGAAACAGAAAGATGGGGCTCAGGGCTCAGGGCTGGAGAGGCTCAGAGACTGCCCTTAAAGCTCAGATGGGACCTGGGACTTGGGGTGAGGATTGAGTCTCCAGACTCTGTCTGAGTGCGTGCTGTGCTTGGTTCCCCAGCCTGTGCAGCACACACAGGTAGAGGCCCTTGCTGGCTTGCACACGCGGGTACCCACCCTGCAGCCTGGCTGGGAGGGGCCCTGGATGACCTTTCCCCACCCCCACCCCCACCCCCCACCCCCCGCCCCAGCAGCCCCAGGGCAGGAGAGTATGGGAGAGGCTGGGTGCTTCCTGACCTTCCGCCCGGGCAGCGCAGGGCGCCGCGAAGCAAGGAGAGTGGCCTCACATCGCGGTGCCAGCAGTCCTGCTTCAGGGCTATTGTTCCCTTTAGTGATTAAGAGCACCTCCTCTCACTACCCAACCCCAGGCAAAGAAGGCGTTTTAGGTCCCCTACTTACGGCTTAGCCGAGAAGAGGGGCTGGTCACTCAGGGTGGAGGAAGGCTCTCCCCGGGGATGTAGAGGGCAAGGGCGGGGGTGCTGGCCTCTGGCTCTCCTGGCTAACCTTGGGTGGACCCACCCCAGAGGCTCATCCACCCCACCCCCAAACAAGTAAACACCTTTCCCTGCAGGGGGGCGGAGAGCTGTGCTGGCCAGGGTGGAGAGCGCCATCTGGCGTCCAGGCCAGAGAAGGCGTAGAGGCTCTCTTGGAGGGCCAGGCACAGAGATGAGTAGCTGTGGCTGCCAGACCCCTCTGCCTGGGCACTGTAGCCCAGGCCCAGCTCTTTGGCTGCTGCCTCAGGCCATTCAGACCCTCTCTCCTGTTTGGTCACCCACACCTGCTTGGCCTCTCTTTGGTCCTGGCCCATCCCTGCCCTGGAAGGGGCCCCAGCCTCTGCATAGATCTTGCTGAGGTCACCAACAGTGTTCCTGGAAGCAGAACTTGTATTGGGAACAGCGTGGGGGGGGGGACGGGGGGGGACGGGGGGGGACACAATTCCCGGGATGGGGTGGAGGAGCACCCTCATGGCCCAGCAGCAGAAGCTTGCTTGTGCTCTCTGACATGTCCCATGCTCTTGGTGACGCATCCTTGGGCTATGGGATGGCTTATGAGAGATCTCTTCACTGGGAGGTACCAAGGTGTGGGGTCAGTGGAGAGCACTCAGGACTGAGCCAAAAGCCGAATGCCACTCCTGCCTCTCAGTAGCTGTGTCCAACCCCTCGGAGTGACATTTGATCCCTGCCCTCTCTTCTAGCCCTAACGTTCCTCGATTCTGATATATGGCTCCACAGGGAGATTCAGAGCCCTAAGTAGCAAGGTGGAGGACTGGGAGGGGGTGCTTGGCTGGGATGTCCAGAAGACCAGCTTGGGCACAATCTTCCCTGTACCCTGGGAAGCAGGAGAGCAGTGACTTCAAAAGGCCACAGACAGTTACCATATGAGAAAAAAAGGAAAAAAAAAACAAACTCCAATTCACAGCTGCTAGCATGGCGCTGGGGCTGCTGTGGGGAACAAAGAACTGCAGAAATTACTGGAGAACATCAGGCAGGATCTTCTCCATGGAAACCGCTGCAGGAAGCCTCAGCATCCATCAGTTCAGGGGACAGTTCCCATGGCAACCGCTCGCCTGGCTGTGCTGAATTGGTTATGACGTGTGCGTGCCTGAGGGCTCTAATTGCAGCCTCATCTGCCTGGTACAGCAGGAGCCAGTGGTGGGAGGTGACGCAGGAGGATGGGGGAGGGGCGGGGAGAGAGAAGCAGATGCCATCTGAGGTCTCTGTGCTCTGGGAGTCTTTAGGTGAAGGGCTCAGAGTTCCATAGTAGACAGGGCAGATGCTGGGGCATGGGGGCACCATGTGTGTGCAAGCATGTGTGTACATGCATGTGCGTGTGTGCGTGTGCATGGGTGTGTGCTGCAGGTGGAGGCGGATAGAGCATAGAAGAAAGGAGAACATTCCATGGGAGAGGGGGACACCCAGAAAAGAGCCAGCAGGATGGCCTGGCCATGGCCTTCCTGCTAAGTGGGTGTCTGGGAACCACTCAGGGTAGCGTCACGAGGGGGACCATGTAGCCTGACTCCATATTTGAGGAGTAGGAAGTGAAGCTCCAGCTTCATGCCTCACTGCAGAGCTGTTCTTGAGCATGGCCAAGTCATGTCAGCACAGGGCTCCTGACCATCAGTACACAAATTGTCTCTGGTTGGATGTAGAAGGGAATGGGATGAAGGGCAAATGTGCCAGCGAGCGAGTGAACTGTAGGGGACACAAGTGTCTATAGGACAGGGGACAGTGTGGCCCCTGCTGTTGTCCTGGGGACTTTGTCCTGGGTAGGAGAGCTGGGCAAGGAAGGAGTGGCCCTCAGAGCTGTTGGGGCCTCTGAGACATCACCATGAGGCCCCATTGGCTCCAAATGGGGCATTTCCCGAATCGAATTGGCTGAGCTGCTTTTGTTTCTGGATAACAGGAAGCATCAAGAGTGTCTGGAAAACTGGGTCGGATACGCCCGCCTGCAGCGGCGTTTGCTGGGTCGGGCCGCCCTCGAGTGGTGAGCTGCGGAACTGACTTTCTCTGAGATACATTTCAGGGATACACAGGTTGGAGAAGGAGGGACAGAATCAAGCCAACCAATGGTCCCCTTCACAGGGCCAGATAGGCCCAAGGGGGCTGAAGTGCTGGCTTGGGCCCGGCCAGGACCTGTGCTCACAGCCCAGGGCTCTGGGGAAAGAGGGGATCCCCCTCCTACTATCTTCTAGCTTTTGTAACCCATGGGCTCCAAGGAGGTTCCATGCATTCTGAGGCCAAATCTCCCAGGTCCGAGAACTTGGAGGGACCCAAGACCACCCCCTCTCAGCTATGCACTGATAGGGAAACTGAGGCCCAGAGTCGGTTTTTGAAGAGTCACATCAGAGCACAGTGCTGGTCTTCCCACCACATCCAACCCTAGCCCTCCCTCTGGATCTCTGCCAATTGCTTCCCTAAGCCTTGTGGGGACAAGCTACCCAGCTGGAACCCTAGTGGGCACAGTGATGTGCCCCCAAGTTCAGTGTGTTGATGAGAGCAGGGGTCACACTGGGCTGCACCAGGAGGAAGCCTAGTTGGGTCATTCTGGGCTCTTACCAAGGGGACAGGGGGGACCAAATGGAGAAAGACTGAAGAGGCAGGCGCTGCACTGGGCACTCCTTCAGTTAGTCCTCACTGAGGGATTATCACTCTAATTTTAGAGACAGGTAAGACATTACTTTGTTTAAGGTCATTTGAGGACTTGAATCCAGATTTCAGCCTCAGCCCCATGCCCCTAACCACTCACGCACAGCAGCTGCCTCTCCACTTTTGTCAACACACAGCAAATGGGCAGCATCTGGTCTTTCTAGACACCTGCTTTCTTTCCAGGCTGTCCCTGTCCAAAGGCTCTGTGGGCAGCTATGGCAGTTTTTTGGGAGCTGTGGGGCATTTGTACATAGATTTTCTTATCTTATTTGCCAGAGGGAAGGAGGGCAAGTATGAGCCTCCTCCCTTGGTACTTCCCAGAGCCCCTAGCAGCTAGACAATTGGCAGGGAGCTAGCTGAGGGAGCTGTGGGCAGTCACCCCTGAGGAAGAAGTGTTCATCTAGGCCCCAGGGGACGTGCTCCTCTGTGAGTGCCTGGCAGGCAAGCAGCAAGGAGCCAGGGAGCTCTGTCCTGTGCAGCAGGTTATCAAGGGAAAGCTGGGGCCACACTGTCCCCTTCCCATCCCATTCTACTTTGCAGAAAAAGCAAAGGTTCCGTCTTAAATACTTGTGGCCTTCAGGCCAGACCTGGGTCTTCCTGCAGTCCCGTTCTTTGGAGTCGTGATTCCCAAAGTCAGTTTCCTGGGAAGTGAGTCAGCCCTGAGTGTGTTGTGGGGGGCGGGGGGAATGGGCAGATTGGAATCCTGGGTCATAAGACATGCCTTTGACTTTGTAGATGGCCACAACAATCTCATGGGTGAGTATTCAGAAGCTGTGCCCTCCCTTTCACTTCAGGTGTTTGTTTGGTTTGAGTGAAGACAAGCCAGAGCAATGGGTACAGGTGACCTGCGAGCCATGATGGATGATTTCTGAATGTTTTTAAAGCAACCCTACGACCCCTTTTTCAAATGAACAAACTATTAGAAAAAAAAGGAAAATCCCAACCCAAAAACCAAACAAGCAAACCAAAGCCCAGGTGGACACTTAACACACAGCCAGGAAACAGCACTGTTCTGACCAATTTGCCTCCAAACACCCCTGACTCCAAAAATACTTGCTGCAGTGAAGTTTGAGAACCACTGTCAGTGGGGACAGAGGGAGGGGACAACTTTGTCTTTATGGTCCAGAGCTTCATCCAAAAGGTGGCCCCATGCTTCTCTTGGCTGCCTGATGGCAGTGAGGCAGGCGGGTGGTGGGGAGGTGGCAGTAGCAGCTGCAGCTTACCTCTGGGTAAGACCACTCTGGGGAGTAGTCGGTCACCATGAACACGCGTCCGCTCTGCTGCAGCATTCCCAGGGTGCCCTGGGCGGAGGCGGCAGAGACCACCTCGGCGACATGCATATAGGCCATAGTGCTGGCCCCGCCCTCAGCGCTGCTCAGCTGCAGGCTGCCCTGCTGGGGGCTGCAGCATGGGATGCACATCTCTGCCTGGGTGAAAGGGGCACGTGCCCCATCCTCCGACTGCGAGAGTGCCGTGCTGTCCCCTGACACCAGCTGGTGCCCATAGATGGTGCCACTGCCCCCTTCCACGGAGATGAAGTCATTAATCAGGTCGGAGAACTGGTTGCTAAAGGAGATGTCAAAGTGGTCCAGGCTGAGCTCCATGTTGGAGGTGTTGCCCAGGCTGGGCTGGGCCACCGGGTAGAGTCCCTGTACCACACTGCTCGGGAGGATGGGGACACCGCCGGCACTGCGGATGACCCCGTTGCTCTCGGGCTGCAGGTAGTGCTCTGAGCCACAGGCTTGCAGCTCCCCAGACTTGAGGAGGACCTCGCTCCCTTCAGCAGCCTGTGAGGTCTCCATGGTGACCTCCCCTTCTGCTGTCATGGCCTGGAAGTTGGCCTGGAACTGCATGAGGTGCAGAGAGGAGGTGGACTCTATCCGAGTCTCCACATGACCACTGCAGGAGCTGGTCTGGGACGAGGCCTCTGTTTTCACCGTGGGCATCACGAAGGTGCCCCCAGAGTCACTCAGGCTGCTGTGGGAGTTCTGCTCGAGGGGGAGGGGCTTGCTGGCATCCTGTAGGAAGAAGCTCGGGGAGGGGGTCTGGTGGATGTGGGGGCTGTGGCCCGTCTGGCTAAAGCCGGACGTGTAGTCCTTGTTGGAGTCTATGGCACTGAAGTCCATCTGCTCAAGGGTGGTGCTGGGACTCAGGCCCCCGCCTGATGGCAGGAGGCTGGAGCCCGCGGTCAGGGTGAGGGGGCTGGACGCGGCGGCCGTGGAGGAGGAGAACGCCTCTTTGGCCAGCTGCTGCTCAAAGGACATGTCCTCTGTCTTTATCTCCTTGGTGAGGACGCTGGTAAGACCGAAGCTCCTCTCCGTGGGCGGCGAGTGCCGGATGTTGGTGCTGACCATCTCGGCTTTCAGGCCCCCACCTCCATATGTCTGACCCTGCTTTGGGTTATTGAGGAAACAGTCGGGGTCAAAGTTCATGGTAGTCTCTGGAATCTTCCGGCCACCATCAAGGGTGGTGGAGAGGACTAGCTCTTCGGACACGTTGGTGGGCAGCATGGACAGGCTCTCTGAGCTGCCCGTGGTGGGGAAGGCGAACTTGTGGCCATCGGAGCTCACAGCCAGAACAAGGCCCTGAGACGCATCGGGTGAGAGGAGGTGGTGGTTGGGGCCGGCGGTGGGGGACATGGTGTACACAGCCTCATTTGTGACCTCCGACATGAATACCGTGGCACTTTGGGACAAGCCCCCCATCACGGAGGCCACTGCCATGCTGGACACGCCAGTGACCACGGGGCTGTCCACCATGTCTGGGTCGCTGTTGAGCCCGCTGCTGATGGACACGGGGGAGCTCTGGGTGGTGTCAGGGACCTCCACCTGGTTGGTGGAGGAGACCTCGGTGCTGTTCTGGTGCAGCAGTGCGGGCTTAGCTACCTTGCCATTCCTCTTCTCACGACTCGTGCTCTTGCCATGGCTGGGCTCGTGCTTGCCCTCTGAGACGTCGTTATGCTGCACCTCTGAGTGGCTCCCATAGCCCCCCGTCCGCGGCTCCACCTTGGGTGAGATGATGCGGTGTTTGGCACTGTTACACTTGTGGTGCACGCTACTGCCCGCTCCTGCATAGATCAGAGCACATCACGCACACGCATACACACACGCATACGCACATGTGCACACACATGCATACAGAAACAGGGTCAGAGCTGGGACACGGGCAAATCTTGTCCCTGAGCAGCTGGGGCCCTGGCGAGTCCCTGTCTGGGAGTCCCATTCGTGATCTCTGGTCAAAGTCACAGATCATACCCCTTGGACACTCAGGGTCTCATGTCCACTTTCTCCCAGCCCTGTGGCTCTCCCATGACCTATGTGACCCTTCTTCAAAGACCAGGGGGTCTTGATCCTTGTTGTTCTTTTCAGATAGTAGCAGTGGCATCTGACATTTTGGGGTTGGGAAGGAGGAAGGGGAGGCCCCTCAGAAAAGCCCGTGGAAGAGCTGTCACTGGTCAGAGGGGCTCAGCCCAGGGGTTGTATGTTCCCACTCCAACCCCAACTTCTCATACCTGTCTGGCCATGCAACACTTCAAGAAGCCCCTGACCTCTTCAGGTGCTCAGTGAGGGACCCTACCCCACCACCCCGGGACTGGGAGCCAAGGATTGACTCGGGCAGGCAGAGAGACTGCACTCTCTGTGTATCAGCTGTAAGACCCAGGACCAAAGAATGTGCTACATTCTTTGTAGCAGAAAGCACAGAGACAGAAAAGGTATCTGAGACTATCCTCTCCACGGGGGCCTGTCTTCACTTGTTGAGGGACAAAAGTCCTTCTAAATCCTAAGCAGGGACAGAGCCCCAGCTCCAGCCAGAGGCAGGGAAGGAAAGAGCCCAGGAGCTAAGCATTTCTGACTCCGCAGCTGTCCCCTCTGGCCTCTGGAAGTACTCTGTCATTATTTTCATTCCATTGGATAAGGCTCACTTGGCTTTTGATAAAAGGGTGACTTATCCTCTGATCCTGTTATAGCCTCACCACCAAGACTCCTAAATGCACAAAGACTTCACTGAGAAATGACCCAACCTTCTCTGATGGAAATAGTTAATTAATGCTGCCAGGGGAGTGGAGAACCACATTTCAAACAGCAAACACCATTATCCAGAAAGCAGGCACATTAAGGAGTGTGCAGGATGTCTTCCTTTCTTGGAAATAGAGGTTAAAGAAAAAGGCCTAGCTTGAGTGATCCCATTGGCTTGGGAAAAATGTTCCTGAAAAGACCCCAGGGCTCAGCAGCCCAGGCCTCTGCTGAGGATTCCCAAGAATGTAGCACCTGTGTAAGGAGGCCTGCTCTCCAAACCTCTCCACTCCCTCGGCTGCTGTCCACCACTTCTTGTCCCCTTTGCCTCTCTGGAAGCTGCTCTCTCTTACCCAAGTTGGGCTGGGAAGCAAGTTCTATGCGATAGGACCAAGGTGAGGGATCTGCTGGGTGTCCATCCTGGGTGCTGACATCCCCTCTTTCCCTCACTAGACATCATGGTGGAACCCCTGTGCCCCGGTGCCACCTGCCCCCCAGGGGTCCCGGCTCACCCAAGCTGCCTGTGCAGAGGCAGTTGTGGGTCCGAGGCTGGGGCTTGGTCTGGTGGCTGTCGAGGATCTGCTGCACCAGCTGCTCCACTGAGAAGCCCGAGCTGCTGTTTCCATTGCTGCAGGTCCACTTGATGCCATGGACTGCGGAGAGAGAGGCAGAGGGGCATCAGGGAGAGGAGGCCCTGACCCAGGGGTGACACCAGGCCTTCTCTGAGCTCAGTCCACTTTCTGCTGGGAGGCTGACTCCAGCGGCAAATTGATGAGCACAGGGAGGAGGCAGAGACTGGCTGCCCACTGGACTCCCCGTTCTATCTGGAGCTCTGAGCAATTCCTCTGCCTCCTCTATCCCCTCTTTTCCTCTCTCCTTCCTTCCCCTTCCCTTTCCCCTACTGCACCTAGGGAGTGGTGCACCTAGAGCTGTTCTGTTTTTGTTTCCCAAAGTCCAAGGGCACCGATGGGCTCTTAGGCCCTAAAAGGAGAAAGGGGAATAAGGACAGTAGAGGAGGATCGATAAGGCTGGGGTACCCATCCAGACTGACCCTGGTGGAGACTCAGAAGATGGAGGGTGGAGGGTTCAGTGAGCAGGAGGACCAGGACCTGTCCCCTGGAGTGTGTGTGTGGGAGATCTTCCCTCATGGGAGACCTCCACCCTTGCTTCCCCCAGATTTCTCTGCCACAAAGAGGTCGCAGGAGAGACTGGAGAGAAGGAGACAGGACTGAAGTGTCCTCATGGCTAGGAGAGTAGGGACCCCAGGGCTCAGTGTTAACTGATATCAGTCATCTGAATAGACACCCAGGGCTTTCAGGTCAACATGGATGCTAGGCTCTACAGTCCCTGCAATTGGGATGGAGGGCCCTGACTGGGTGGCTCTGTCAGTGGCCCTGGTAGAGGTG